CGGGCACCGGTGGCCGTACCAGGCCGGAAGGGTCGGGCGCCGAAAGAAGCCCACGCTTCCCGACAAAAGAAGCCCTTTTTAATTTCCTTTTAGCAGTAGCAAAATCACCTTGTCGGCAATGCAGCGCCAGACATGGATGAAATGTTTCAAGCCAGAACTGTGTGAAAACAAACAGCGAGCCCAGACGGTAGCCAGCCAGCACGGGGAATGCTCGCTTAAGCCATTTAAGTCTGGCAACGTGAACAGGAGATAAACGTAAGACAGAGTCTTAAGAAGTGAAACACGTTTTAATACTAGAAATGTCATCAGTTGTGCTTCTAATTACTCCCTGAGAGCCTGAGTTGTGATATTTCAGCAGCAGAGGAGAAGAACGACTCTTGAAAACCCATTTTCCAGCCAGTGGAAAACAGTACCCAACATGGGAGTCCCTTCAGGAGCATGGCAATGGGACAACCTTGATCAGTGGGTATGGAAATTGTCCCCTGAAAGCCAGAAGGCAGAATTTGGGTAGTTTACACTGAGCTCTGGCTGATGGGATGTAACCAGTGTCTCCACCACCCAGTTTGAATCCCAGGTAGGCAGATTGCTCTGGAGAACTAAGGAGCAGCAGAAGACACAGCTTGGCCACCTGTGGCTTTCAGGACAGATGATGAACCTCTGGAAGCTGCCCTAGATGACTAAGACATGTTCCTAGATGAGAATTCTAGTTTAGTAGTTCTGCTACAAAACAGGACTTGTCAGGAGGCTGTGACTCAGTCATTGCTGCCAACGAATAATGAAATCAAAATGGGAGCCAGATCATTTAAAAAATAGTTTGGAATGAATATGTGTAGGTATAGGTTACCTCCTGTGATTCATACCCTAACACATTGTTTAGTCAATAGATGGAGATTTTCATATTTTATTGTACATTTTCAAGTTATTTTTAAGATGGGTTTAAGTCATACAGTTGGATCTAAATCAGCACTTTTGACCGCTAATTCACAGTTATTCTGAGGTGGGAACAGCCAGATCTGCTTCTGGATTTAAAAAAAAAAAAAAAAAGAAAAGCTTAAAAAGTAAATTTATTCATTGTCTTGGCTTTATTTTCCTGAAGAACAGAATATCAAAGCAAAGCACAATCATGCCTTTTCCTCGTGTGTTCCCCAAGCAGCTGTGCCAAAGTCTTCATGGGAAACAGTAATGTTGATTTCTTCAGCACTCTGTTCCACATTGACCTGTGTGTTAACTCCATGAACAGTTTCACAGCTATTTGTCATTCCAGTGAGTTCTCTGCACACGGTTTTATGATTTCCTTATTGCTGGTGTTTCCAAAAAGTCAAGGTGATTCAGGGCTTGTTTTGTCCTTTGCACCCAAATTTTCATGGATCACACACTTGAGGTCTTCTCGATTCAGAACCTGGCTTTTATACTTTTCACCCCAGTCCTCAACAATGTACTGATGATAGGGGTCATTGGAGTGCTCTCGCCTTTTTGATTTCACAGTACTCACCAAAATTGCCACAATAATGAAGGAGAACATCCCAATCATCACCATCAAATAAAGAATAACATAGTCAAAGTTTTCAGCATCAACCTTGGCTTGCAATTTATCTGCTGCCTCCGTCATGTTTTTCCTCCAGCCATTCATGTAAGTGAGAAAGATTTCCTTGAAAATATCTTCCACCGCCCAAGTGAAGTTTCTCATTTCAGCCATCCTTGCAAGTTATGGATATTAAAGACAACATGATACTTATTTTATTCAAATATTTGTACTAAAGCATCTACATTGGTTTCTGTTATCCACCTTATGACAATTAGCTAATAATACCTGACGCTTGAAAGTGCAGCACCTATTTTAGATGAGCTGAGAATCCCCATCTCTGAGTGGTTCGGTATGCTCAGAGACCTCACTCAGGTCACTTTCAGTCAGTGGGAAGGCCAGTGAGCGTGGGCCCCCGTGACCCACGTTAGAGGGGTGGAGGCACACTGACTGCCTTCCCTACTTGAGGCAAGACACCTACTGAAGAAGCATTTCACCCAGAAGAAGACAAAGTACTTACTGGGGCCTGTAAGAGCTGGCACAGTGCCATTCCAGGCAGCTGCCCAGGATTTCTCAGGGAGGATGTGACCTTCCCTGTTTGGTCTCATATGTTACATCTGTTGTGAAGGCTGGTGTACCCGTGCAAGCCGAAGTGAGTCCATGGGAGTGTAACAGGTAGACTGCTAACATCTAAATGGTAGCCTGATAGGCAGGGGAGGGACAAGAAAGCAGACCCCCCCCATACCTGGAATAACCTCCCCGGTTATTAGGGCCAGCCATCCCCAAGGGGCAGGGATGCTGAGTAGTGCTGCAAAGCCACCTCTGCCCTATCCCTCTCCCAGCTATCCCAAAGCTTGCCACGGTCAGGCCCAGCTGCTGCTCCGAAAACCACGAATTGGGTCTCCATCCCACAGGAGACATCCCCCTCCAGCACACTCCTGCTGCAGAGCTCACTCCCACCCAGGGGCAAGGCTGGCCCAGTTTCATATGCACCCAGTGTGGGTACCCCTGTACCAGGGCCTGTCTGCAGCCGTTATTTTTAAAGGCCTTTCTCTAAGGCTGGATTGCAGCGTTGATAGTGTTGCTAGCAGAGGGGCAAATGGTGGGAGAGGGACCCTGCTGAGACTCCCAAGCTCTTAACAGGGCAGGGGGGAAAGATAGGAAGAAGAGAGAGCTGCTCAGCAACTGACTACTTGTCATTCCAAATATTCCTCTGATCCATATGGTCCTGTTTGAACTGGGCTAGGTCTGGGGTAGAAACACTCACATAACGACTCCAATGAAGGAGGTCTCGAGAAGCTGTGAGAAAAGCCACTCTTCTTTTTTGCCTTTCCTACATAAAGGAGAGGGCGTGACTGCATTGCAGCCTGCTAGCCTGCAAGCAGCAAAGGGTGTCATACAGCATTTCAGTCTGATGCTCCTGTATAACACCTGTCCTTCAGTGCTTCAGGCCAACCAAGCCCTACAACATGCGGCAAAGCTTCCAAAGTCACTTGATCTCAGTGCACTCTTCAAGCAATGATGAGCTTACTGCAGCCTATGGTAAGAGCTGGTGAATTTTCATCACTAATAAGAAATTGTGTCCTTTGAACTGGAGTTCAGCAGTCTACCTTCCTCTGCCTGTGTGCACAAAACAGGCACACATGGGCAGAAGGACCCAGGATCACGTGCATGTAGGTCTCTCTGTAGTTACACCCTCACACACACTCAGACATAGGGGATAAAGGTAATCCAATGAAAGTAAGCAAGCTGTAAGCAAATCCAAACACAAAGTGCCTTGAAACTTCTTGTGTGCAAAATCTCCCTGCTTTTCCTTTGATTCAGAACAAAACTGACTATGCTTTTTCAATAGGAAGTAAAGAATTCCCAACATAAACTTACCTTTACTGTGCCCTTCTCTAATGGATTGACGGTAACACTCAGGATTTTAAAGCTCCACTCAATAATGTGGCGATACTCCCGAAAGGAGCAGAGTTTAAGTAGCCTGCAGCCCGCACAAGGCTATAAGCAGTTATCTGTTAAACAAGTGCCTTGTGCTGTATGCTTTATGTTCATATTAAATTAAATGCAAAATCTAATCTCACCTGGAAAGTTAAATATTGACTGACAGCTTACATCAGTCATCCTGTCAGATGCTGAGTACTACTCTTTATGCTTACTACTGCGATTTCATATGCTGTAAAAGAGCACTGCTGTGCTTTCCTAGGAGTAGAGAGTGATGCCGCTCGATGTTTGTTGGCACAGACAGAAGAAGAGTAAAGATGAGCTCTGAAAAATAATGATGATGTTGATAATTCCCTTGGCTGATATGGGCATGAGAGGGTGAGCACTGAGCAGGCAGTGTGGAAGGCCTGCCAGCCTGTCAGGCTGCTTAGCAGCCATGGTTTGTCTTTTCTTCCACCAGGATCATGCTTCTTAGTGGTCAACCCCTCTGTGAAGCCTGTGCTGTGAGAAGCAGGTAGAAGAAGGCAGCCAAACCCAGCCTTTCTGAACTCTGCTCTGTGTGTATATCACTCGTGATCTGGAAAGGGAAAAGACAAAAACTTACTAAAAATAAAGAAAAGCAGAATTAATTACCGTTGATTTTATTTCCAGTAAATACCATGTGCTGACACCTAACTGAAAGGCTCTGAGTCACACCTTAGAAAATAGCAGTGTGCTCAGTGAAATGAGACAACTTCAGTTTCAGTCAGGAGCAATTCCTGGCTATGATGAAGACATCCAATGGCAGGGGTTTAAAGTGGGATTGTGGTGGAAAGCTCTCCACAAGTGCATGGGCTGGGACAAACCTTCTGTAAAAAATATTTTCATTTTACAGGTATTCCTGCCTAAGCAATTTGCAGAGAAAGCAATTTCCCAGGTAGGTCTGCTTTGAGGAAGACAAAGCAAGCATGGACTACCACTGAATCAACAGCACACATCAGAAAAAGGGAGACAGGCTCTTGGTACAGAACAGTGTTAATCCTTGAGGAAGCCCTGCAAGTTTCATGCTTCTGACATTGTCATGGTTACTGCTGTCATTCCTTCTGGATGTTTTTCTGTGCATGGACACCTCCCAGCATGGGGGCAAGCTGCTGGCAGCATTTCCTCTCTGATCCCCTGCTTCTCTCTGGCAGTTTCCCATGTGCCCTGGGCTTGGACCCTCGAAATTGACATAGCTGGCAAGGTGTTTCTGTTTGCTTTGATGAAACTCCTAAGCCAGAGGGACCACAGCAAGTCCAGCCTCCTGCACTGTTCAGCCAGAGACATGCCCTGCTTGGTCCTGTATGGATAAAGTCACCTGGATAAAGCCACCACCATGCTGTTAGAGGAGTTCCCAAAGGCAGGGTTGTGAACCTGGCTATGAAAATAAAAGAGACGCCTTGAAGGTTCCAGTAAGAAACAGCTTGGGAACTGCTGCCTTGGACTGCTAACAGCCATGTGAAAGGACTTATCCCTCCTTCAACTAGCCTCTTCTACCATCTGTTCCTGGCCAGTCCTGTTTGGCCAATATTTGCAGGCATACACACACACACACACACGTGCACAGGCTTATCTACATATATGAAAGATTCATACGTTGTCAGGCAGACATGAAATTTATGTGCCAACCCTGTTCTTAAGGAAACCGGAAGACTCCTTGAATAACTCCGTTCTGCTGCGTGTTCCCATGAAGGTCACATTTGCTCAGGGTTTGCTTAGTCTTCATAGCAATGAGGTGGTCAAAGACAGCATGGAACTCACTAGAAAGAGGGCGGAGTAGCCAAATATCTTGGGCAGGAAAGGTGACTGCCTTAATATTAGTCTCCCAAATGGAGACTGATAGTAAGTCAGATGCTCCTGATCTCAATGGAGGGAGGTAGGGACGGCTGGTTGAGACTCCTGTTTCTACCCCAAGAATGGCTAGGTCATAGCAGTCAGGAAGGGACCCTGGTGACTGAAGAAAGGCAAGGATACTCATCCTTGAGAAGGGCAGTGAAGGTCCAGGGAGCTTAAGGATGACCAGCCATACCTCAAACCATGTGGTGATTAAAGAGCAAATCCCTCTGGAAGCCATTATCAGGCATGTGAAGAAAAAAGTTGATTTGAAACAGCAAGCGTAGGTTTATCCAGGGCAAACTGTACCTGCTCAAGCTGATTGCTTTCTGTTGTAAGATGACGGGAGGACTGTTTCAGTGGATGAAGGCAGAGTGGTAGCAGTGGTTTACCATTGCTTTAGCAAGGTTTCAGCATGGTCTTTCATAATACCCTTGTCGACAGATTGGAGAGAGATGGGCCAGATGTGTGGACTCCAGAACTAGCTGGGTCACTGTTACGGGCAAGACAGAGTAAAGGACAACCCCTAGGAGATCTATATGCTGGACTTTATGTCAGAACCAAAGAGAGTAGTGCTTTTATATACATCTGCCAGCTCCCTTGCAGCAACTGACCATTCACTGATGAGGCAGTGCTACGACAACATCCGCCCTTACCTCCCAGGTGTTGTGGAGCAGGTGGGTCCTGGGTCACCATCCCATGACAAGTGTTGTAATTAGCAGGAGGTACATCACATGCAAACATGTGCAGTCTTTAACGATTAATATAAACAACATTACAATTGGATGTATTTTCACACATAGCAGCCATATGGTCTTGAAGGCACCATTTGAGGAAAACATTTTCTTTTTAGATGTTACAGGAGGTTCAGAAATGAATGTTATGTGATTGTTCATGACCTTCATGATTAATAACCCTTTTTTGATTGTGTAGCAATACATTCGTTTGTTGACTGTTTTACAAATCCTTTGTTAGTCTTACTGGAGAGACGATGAAGCAGGTAGCAGATATACTGAAGATCTTGTGATCAGACCCAGATCTCAGGAGTGTTCATGTGAGTTCATTATCAATTCATCTCTCCCAACATTTTGCAGTATCTATTGTAAACGCATAAAGGGATAGCCATAAATAAACACGAACATGCATACACATGACATACGTAGATCAGTATCTATAGGATTGGAATGGGGTGCTCAATTTTCTGTTTTTCCTGTAGAAGGTAAGAGTAACAGAAGGTTGTTATTAATAGTGATCTTTGTTGCCCAGACATTTTCCTTCATAGGAACTACTCATTCACTTTTTTCAATCCTCCATCAGTTGTTTCTCTATATCCTCTACAACAGACAAACTTTACACTCTATTTTAAATCAGCAGCTGAT